GATTGTCCCAGAGATTACTGCAAGTCTAAAAGAAGAAAATGCTTGTTAGAGAATTATTGAAACTTCTAAAATATGGAATACTCACATTATTCCAACTAAATATTTATACTATATTATGAATAAAGTTAAAATCATAATTTCTTATTTATGTAGTACATCTTTAACCAAACAAACAAACAAACAAAACAGTTTCACCATGTTTCCTGGGCCTCAAATTTGCAATATTCCCGCCTCAGCCCTGCAAGTAGCGAGGATTACAGGAATTCACCATCGAGCCTAAGTGTTATTTCTATTGATCAACTATCATTGACAAAGAACTCTCTTAATTGGAAGCTAATAATTCTTCAATATGAAAGACAAATTTCTTCCTGTTCTCTTCTGAAACCACACTATAGTGACACTTAATGCCAAGTCTTATATCCACAAGGAAAACTGAATAGGAGAGAAGACAATATCAGATTAAGGAGGGTCACAATACCTTAGAGGAAAAAAATAAACATTAAGTTAGAGATGTGGGCTTTAGCATTCTCTAAGGGCCAACAGTGAGGGAAACCAATACAGATGCAAGGTACCACAGAAGGTAATGAGTTCTATGGTGAAGCAAAAAAATCCAGGAAGGGTGAATAATCTATAGGAAAATACTTAAATCCCCCAGCGCCATCCCCTGCCCAAGCAACCGACCTTTCTTATAACAAAGACAGGTTTATGTACCTGAATGAACTGGAACAGAAAGCCATTAGATTTTAAGGCTATAAAACACAAATAAGCATACCTTTCAAAAAAAAAAAAAAACCTAATAAAATAACAGGAAGACTATGTGAAAACCTGCATACTAGAAGTGAACGGCAGGACATAACATCTGTGCTGTTCACTGTTATATCCCCATTACCTACAATGGCACCCGGCACAAAGAAGGTAGCTAATAAACATGCAGCAAAAGCTCAGATAATAAGTTATTATAATGTCCAAGAAAGTAGGACATCAAAGAAAATCAACAACAGAAAGCAAGAGAGAAAAATATAAAAAACATGGAGATCAATTCAGGAAATTTAATATCTGACCAACAGAAATATCTAGAAAGAATAGAGAAAACAGGGTAGCACGGGGGTCTTATAAAGAAACAAGGTAATAATGTTTCCAAGTTGAAAGTAACACKAAATGCCTAACAATAAGAGAAAGTGAAAGAAATTTATCATTTCAAAATACCAGGAATAAAGACAAGATTGTAAAACACTCATCTTGATTTAGGTAGAAAGATTACAAAGAATCACAAGAATGGCACTGGACTAACTCCAATGACAATCCTGGAACTTAAAAAAAAAAAAAAAAAAAAAAAGGAATATTACTTTGTAAATTCTGTAGAAAGTGGCTTTTAACGAAGAAATCGAAGCCTAGCCCAAAGAACAATCAGGTGTAAGGATGAGGAGGAAATAAAAACATTTTCAGACAGACAAGGTGCTCAAAGCTCACCTCGCACATATTTTCTTTCCCTTCCTACTTCCCACAAAGAGCATGTAAAGAATGCATTCCACTAGGAGAAGGGAATATAAAGAAAAGGACATCTTTGTATCTAAGAATCAGGGGACACCACACTATGAAGGGGTCAGGTGAATTCCAGGAAAAAGCAAAAGGACACTCCACCCCACAATGGCTGTTGGGAAGCAAGAGACCATTCCCAAGAGAAAAATACAACGGAGGACACAGAAGGAGCAGCAACAAAACTGAGCCCTTGGACCTTGGATCTACATGGTCTGTCTGGAGAGACTGGCAATAAATTAATGAAAAGAGATCCAAGAAAAAAAAAAAGTGTCTTTTTCTAATTACCTAAAAAAAAAAAAAGAGGAAAAACAAAGTATGAAAAAATATTGAAAGGCATGAATGCTTCTATCATAAATACTCATGTATTCTAAAAGTAGTAAACAGCTACATCAGGAGGATGTGCAGAGATAATGTATAAGGATAATGCTGAAAGGATTAAACCTTCAAAATTCAAAGTCAAAAACCAGTGGTTGATATTTAAAATTGAGAACTTCCACTAACAGCCATTAATTCTAATTCTACATTAGAATTAATTCAGAAGAGGTAAATGTGGGAGACCAACCTTACACGTGACTGAGTTACACTCCCTGGCTGGGTGCTGAGGTGCTCAGTCACAGAAATGTGGCAGAACTTTTCCCACCCTTCTTTGGTGTGAGGGTCAGTGTCTCATGCATGGGTGTGTCTTGCTACAGCCCCATGGGTGGAGCTACGCTCACCTGTCCCTTTGTAATATAACCCCTTGCCCTGTTTAGGATGGAATCTTCCATGCAAATGCCTTGTGTGTGTGTCCCCTTCTCTTGCTGTGCCCTTGGGTGTGGCCTACCCAGTCAACCTGTTGACAGTGGATATCATGAAGATAGACTCAGCCCCCTGAAAACTGACCCCTTGCCTCATTTGAATAGCTTTTCCTCAATAAAAGGGGTCAGCTCGGGCTCTCTCTCTCTCTTTCTTCGGACCCTTAAGGTCAGAGGAGCCATCACAGCGACCCCAAAGAAAAAGGTATTTGTGTCTCTTGTGTGGTTATTTCATGCAGYCCAGTTAGCCCAGTTTAACTAGAGTGACCCCTGAGCCTTTTAGTGGAGAGAACAGAAACCCGGCAGGTAAACAAAAAAATCAAAACTAATAGCTGGGAAATAAAACAGGTATGGCAGGATGGGGACAGGAAGCTTCTACTTTTCTTATATACTCATAAGACTAATWTTTTATAAACTGCAGTCATTATTTTATAAAATCTGTGTTTTTTAAAAAAAGATTTTTCATACAATAAACCTATTTTAGCCTATTATTTCTTGGCTAACCACAGGATTCTGAATATTTGAAGAAAAGCATTTAGTCTGATAGCAAAAGAGGTTCTATATTTATACAAATTTAGTAAAGGACTAATTTTGGTTTCAAAAACTAGTTCTCAAAACTCTTTTMTCTGAAGTTTAAATAAATCTTGCACAAAACCACAGCATGTCCATTCTGCTCTTGCCAACACAAAGGAAAATTAGATTATCAGCATATAGTCTAAAATATCAAAAGCACTTATCATTTACTATTATTTACATTAAACTTAACAAAAGCCTCTCCTCTACTTTTTCAAAATCAACCATGTATGCAAATAAACTAAATTAGGGGTTGCCAAACTGGCCTGGGGTAGCCCAAATCCAGCCTGCTACTGTTTTTCTAATACTTACCAGCCAAGAAGAGTTTTACACTTAATGGGGGAAGGTGTCTTTATTTATTTATTTTTATATATATATATATATATATTTTTTTTTTTCATGAAATTTATCAAATAGCATTCAAATTCCGGGTTTATTTTTAAAAAGGTTTTATTAGAACACAGGCTTGCTCATTAATGCTTATACCCATGGCTGCTTTCTGGTGATAACCAAGTTGAACAGTCATAATAGAGACTGTGTGTCTGCAAAACCTAAGATATTTACTGTCTGAATCCTTCCAGAAAAAAAGCTTATTGACCTGTAGGCTAAATGACTATAATTCTGAATTTCATTTGACTATTGTTTCAAATTATTAAGCCAAATTCATATATAAATGTGTGAATATGCTAAGTTCATGAATCAAGGGCTGCTTGATTAAGAAGCCTTAGAGGCAGGTCTATGGGACTCTTGAAAAGTCCAGTGGAATTTAAAATTTTGCTTAGCATTTGAGGTAAATGGGAACAGAATCAAATCTAGGGTATCCTGACAGTGAGATGGTTGCTCTAAGAGATAAGCATCTGGGGCCAAAGGTTTAACCCTAGCACACCTTTGTTCCTCCGCCACTCTTCAACTATCTGTTATTATTTCATTTTGTTAAAATTCAATAAAACATGCTCTTCAATCTTCAAACATGTCCTCCAAATGTTGAAGAGATCTACTGATATTCACTTACAACTGTGCCAATCCAGCAGGAGAGCATAATAGTTAAGGACAGAGTTTCTAGTGTCAGACTCTGACAGTTGCTCTGGTCTTGCAATTCTCTGATTGTCTCTAAACTTCACTCTTCTTACCTCTAAAGATGATCACAATACCTACTACACTTCAGGTGAGCATGGTTAGACTGAATGAAGGAAGTCAAGAACTTAAGGTACTACCACAGAATTAAGAGCTCAAGAAATGTTAGCTACACTTTGTTTCATGTTCAAATAGTTCATAAACACTCATTATCCTTGAAGAGCATCAGAGACAGTATTCCTAAACTTCAGTGTACCTAAGAGTACCCTCGTATACTTATTCTTTAATCTGGTGGGATGGAACCTGTATTTTCAAGTTCACTGTGATTTGGATACAGGTGGTCCATGGAATAGAAAACAGTGTTCCACAGAATAGAAACAGTGTTCCTAGATGATAAAACACATAGGGGAAGTTGAGAGACAAGCTAAAAACCTTACAATCACAACTTTAAGTGGTTGACTATATCAAAATCATAAGGAGCCAAGTAGTACTCATTCCTTAAGCTGTAATTTCCCTTTACAGTTGTTGTTGTTCTTTTACTTAAACCTTTTCTGGGCTCCACAAGTTAACTAATGTTATACACAAAGATTTTTTCCTAGTTTACGAAGGTTAGGACTTCCAGTTACACATCCAACTAAACACTAAAGTAATTCAGTAAGTTCCATACTCAGACCCCAACAGAATCCCAGTTTTCTATCTTAAAATTCAGCCATAAAACTATGTAATGAAGACTGACCCAGTTCACTTATTGGCATATGTGCAAAGAGAGAAAAAAACTGAAGGAAAAAAAATGTGTTCGTATGTGACAATACAAACTAAAACAAGCTAAAAATAGCACAAAATTAGAGCCTATAGTGAGAAACCCTGATGTGTGATCCTGGTGAAGGGAACTGCATGCAACACCTGCACCACAGGGTGAGTTTTTTTTTTTCAACTCAAGTGTCTATTCCAAAACCAGCAACAAAAGCAGAGCTCAGAATGGCAAAAGTTGGAGAATGCAAATGCACACGTTCACAATACCTTGCTCCAGTCTAAAGCACAGGGAACGTCTGGCTGCTTCCATCTCAGGAGTCGGGTTATCTAGGACGTGTCTACACCACTGCAAAGGATTCAGGGATTTCTCTGATGAGGTGAATGTCTTTGAAGAGCCAACGTATAACCTTAAAAAAAGAAATCTACATTATAGGTATGATACAGGTATACAGAGAGTGCCTCTCTTCTGGGGAAAACAACAGGTATTCAACAGTTTCCATAGGAACACAACTCACATTTGAATACTTCCAATACCAAAACTCATTTTAACAAGCAAATATCCCCAAACAGAAATGACTCTCTCCAAAGCCTGGTGAGTACTATTTCAAAAATAGATCTAGCAATTTTCCCCTTAACTGTGTTTCACAGAGTAGGAGATCAGGGTTTGGGGTACTGAACAGGCACCATGAGGATCTTACAGTATCATTTTACACATTTAGAAATGAACGTTGTCTAATTCTCCTGAAGCAGAATTGTATGTAAACCTGGGCTAATGGATRTAAACATGACATGGGCCACAAGGCAAACTTTGGTTATGTTTTTTAAAAAATAATAATAAGTCCAAACACAAGTTGGTTAATTCTCTGAACTCTAAATATTTCCGTCACCTCAAATCTACACTAAATTTGATATGTACTACTTCATTAAAACCAAAGAAATACCTTTAAAAGTTTTGGGCAATATTCATTTTCAGCATCTACACCATTACACAATAACAGGTAGTATTATTTTTAATACTACCCAGAGGTACTACAAGTTACAATAAAGGTTTTCTCTCATTGACATAACTATGCTAAGGTAAACTTATATTTTTAGTGATAGGTTAAATAACCAGCAGTTATTCAAAAAAAAGAGGAGAAAGTTACTTCCCTGCAATTGCTGGCTCTAGTAATTGACCTTGCTAAACTTAAGTTTATTCTAATTATAAATCTCATACAAGTAATACTCCCTCAAAGTAACTACAATTCTAATGAGCACTTATTCTTGAAATTATGTACTTTAATACTTTTACTACTCTGTACAGAACTTCTACCTTTTAGAGTAACTCATAAATTACTGATAGTAGGGAGATATATTATTTTTCAGTAATTTGCAGCTCAGGATGGGCAAACTCTGTAAAGGCCAGCTCATATGTCCAGCTTTGTGGACACAATCCCTCTTGTAATTATTCAACTCTGCCATCCCAGCACAAAAGCATCCTAGACCATATGTAAACTAATAAACATGGCTGAGTCCCTATAAACTTCACTTACAGATAAAGATAAACTTCCCATCATTTTCACATTCTACATTTTTAAAATTTTCTCCATTATTTTAAAATGCAAAAATCTATATTTCCAGCCATACAAAACAGGCAACAGACTTGATTTCCTCCATAGGAAAACATAGTTTGCTGACAGGTGAAGATTCTAAAATATCTCTCTTTTAATCTAGTAAAGGGTAATTGCAATGTATTATTTTCCTTATAGTGTGGTCTACAGTCCTACCTCCATTAAGAGTACACAAATTAGTTACAAATTCATATTCCTGCGCTCCACCACAGCCCTACTATGACATAGGTAGGTTATAACTCCTGCTACCCTTCCTCACTAATGGACTCCCAACTTGTCCAGTACTGGGTACCTCACCTTAGTTCGAACAAAAGTCAGTGCAGGCTAGTTGTTCTCAATCTACTTTGCTACTTCAAACACAAATCTCTGRGCTATACCCTGCCCCCAGGTTTCTGATTCAGTAAACCTGGAGTAGAGTCAAAGAATCTGAATATCTAATAAGCAAGCTAAGCCAATCACGGTAATTCACTGTTGCCCTTGGCCTAGTGACTGGTTCAGGCCCCAGTCCTGGATACAATCCTAGCTAAGAAAATCTGAGGGGAAATCATTTGATATGCTTGTGGGCAAAATTTTCCTTGTTAAATCTACGAAAGGTTTTTGGTAGATTCCTCCGGATTTTTTTAACATGGTTAAGCCATCTGTGAATAAAGCCAGGTTTGCTTTTCTTTCCAATCTCAATGTTTTATCTGTTGTCTGACTGCACTGGATAGAATCTCAGTGCAGTAGAAGAAAGCTGATATCCTTACTTTGTTCTACTATCGGGCACACTATCTAGTATGCTGATTTTTTTTTTTAAATGGGGCCTTTAATCTGACTAAGGACATCTTCTTCTGCTCTGCAATTCATTGGGAATTGTTATTAAGAATGGATGCAAATGTTTTTTTCTTGGCTAAGTACTGAGATTATAATGATTTTTCCATTTTAGTTAATATGGTAAGTTATACTGATGCTTGAAATGTTAAACCAGATATACCAAATTTAAGAGTGAGAGTCTAAATACCATTCAGGTGTCTCTTCCCCTTAAGTCAATCTATATAATTAAATCGTAATGAAAATCTAAGCAGGATTTTAATTTTTTTTTTTTTTTATGTAGAAGCTGATCCTAAAATTTACACGAAAGGCAAAAAATCCTAGGATGGTCAAACTGTTTAAAAACAAAGTTGGAAAGCTGTCAGTAATTGAGTCTTATGACCAAGCTACGTAAGTACAGATTAGTATGACAAAGATAAAGAGATCAATGGGGAAAGAATAAAATTCAGAGATAGACATAAATAGAAAACTGAATTTTAACACAGTACAAAGAGAATTCAAAGAAGAAAGGACAGCATTTTTAACAAATGGTGCTGGAACACAATGGATAATGGATGGCCATATTAAAAAAAAAAAAAGTTTAAAGGAAACTCTGATCCATACTTCACACAACATCCAATTAACTCAAAATAGATGAGTCAAAAATGTAAAATTTGAAACTGTAAAACACTTTTGTTAGAAACCATAGGTGGGCAAACCATGTATGGTGGACTTTGCCAACCAACATTTTTTAGATACAATTCTAACACTGAAAGCATGATCCATAAAAGAAAAAAAAATATCAGTTAAACTTGTAAAAAAATGAAAACTTTACTTTCTGAAAAACACTAAGAGAATGAAAGAMAAATCAAACTGGGAAGAAAAAAATTGCAAATCATGTGTCTGATGAAGAACATGTATGTAGCATATGTAAGAAAATCTGCAAATTCCATACTCAATTTTAATCAAAGGCAAAAGATTTGACTGTGTTTCACCAAWGAAGATCTGTTGGTAGTAAACAGGATATGAAAACATGTTAATCATTTGAGAAATGCAAACTAAAACCATAATAAGATATTACTACACACCTCTTAGAATGGTTAAAATTAAAAAGACTGGCCATAGTAAGTTCTGAGGAACACATGGTACAGTTGAAAGTTCTACTGCTGGTAGAAATGTAAAATGGTATAACCACTTTGGAAAAGAGTTTGGCAGCATGTTAAAAAGTTAACACACATTCACTCTCTGTTCCAGCCACTTGAGTCATTAAGTATTTATTTACCCAAGAGAAATTTAGACTTATACATAAATATGCACAATAGTTTTATTCCTAACAACCAAAAATTGAAAACGACCCAATGCCCACCAAAAGATGGGGTGGATTGGGGCTGGAGTTGTGGCTCAGGGGTAGAGAGCTCGCCTACCATGCGTGAGGCACTGGGTTCAATCCTCAGCACATAAAAATAAAATAAAGATATTGCATCCACCTATAACTAAAAAATATTTTTTTAAAAAAAGATGGGTGATAAACAAACCATGTTTCTATCCAAGCAATATAATAGCTCCCACACACAAAAAAAAAAAAAAAGAAAAAAAAAACTACTGACTTATGGAACAAAACTTCTAAAACCAGACTAAAACAAATCCATGAAGAATACATGCTGTATTATTTCATCAATATAAAAATGATAGAAAACACAAACTAGTCTTAGAGTTAAACAGGATTAGGAAGGAAGGAATACAAAGAGCCACAGTCAATTTACGTGTTGAAGTATGTTCACTATCTTGATCACTGTGAAGGTTTCATGGGTATATTCATATGACTGTTAAGTTGTACATTTTAAATATGTGCAGTTGATATACCAAGTATACTTCAGTAAAGCATTTAAAAAATGGTCACAAGGACTGGGAACTGATTCCCATCCCTCAGTATTCTTAAGATGACTCAGAGCTGCCGTCTACCATATGTTCAGAGAGAGAAGCAGCAGCCACAGTCCTAACAGAAATGAGCCACTAATTAATCAACTGTGGTACTTCCTTATCTCTAGACTTAATCARTTTTGCTCCCTATTACCCACACAATGCATGTCTCTGAGCCTCTGCTTATTCTCAAGTTTCTTTCTGTTACCACCTGAAACTACTGTCTAAGGCACCAGTGCCCATGATCTCCAGCATCTTACAGGATTCCTGTAAATATGTTCTGTTGCAAGGAATCTTCTACCAACCATCTTGCCTCTGTGTTTCAAATATTACAACATTTTTTTTCTAGTTACCATCTCAATTACTGATAAACTGTACCAGTCAATGAGCTCCACCCACCTGTATCTTTAGATCAACTTCAATACCTCCTTTGGTTATGAATAGACAACCAATGATACCTAATATATGGAATACTCCTATTATATAAAGTGCTTAGGTTAAAAAATAACAAGAAAAAGAACACAGGAAAAAAAACACAAGGGAAAAATGAAAATACCAACACAACTATAATTGATATCATCTAAGAGCAAATATTGCATTCATACACACATACAAATATTTAAAAATAAACAGATTGTTCATTCTTAGAAAATGAAACTAAATGTAGCAGAAGCAAAAATGTCAATAAATGAGTTTGGAATATCAAGTTGAAGAAGGGAGAAAATTCCCAGAGTTAAAGGCAGGTCATGGGATTCCAGAACAAAAGCACCTACAAATGTCCAGTATAAAAAACAGAAAGACCCATACCAAGGTATATCAAGACGTTAGAATACTAGGGATAAACAAAGCTGAAGAAAAAGTTACAAAGCTATTCATATTACAGTGACTTCAAAAGCTAGAACATAATAAAAATTACTGCCAAAAAATGCCTTCAAAAGTAAAATGACAGACTTAGATTTTCATACCCAACCCAACTACAAAATTTATGCAAGGGCAGACATTTTCAAATATGCAGAATCTCAAAATATCCTTGTCATGTGTGTCCGCTTTCTCAGAAAGCTATTCAGATTCCAATAGCTTTCATATTT